ATATATATATATATATGAGAAGGTTGACTATTTCAAATAGATAAATCCTTTAAATAATGTTATTGTTGTATTATGTAGTGGGATATAAAAGGACCAAAAACCTAGTAAGCAGAAAATAGAGTTGTTGTATTTAGATTTGAAGTAAATAAGTGTACAGTCATGGAATGACTGAAAGCGAAATATATCTCTGTACACAACATTTTTTGTATAAACGACTTGTCTTTGTGTAGCTTTGCGCGAAATCTATAACAAACAAACAAACAGTCGAGTCCCTGAGATATACGGGATCAAAAACTCTAATTCATCCTTGAGACCCATAGCATTTGCTTGAGGATCTCCGACAGAAAGTATATCATGGGTTTTGGATATACTGCTGTAGCCGTTATTGGACTTAGTCCTTGCTCATATCAACAGCACACATTGTTTTCTTGAACAGTTACATAATGACTCACATATCCTTAATGATAATTATATTCTGTTATATCCCAATATCTCAATTACAGAACAGATAGATTATGTTATTACTATGATAAGAGAAAAACAGAGAGATGACGTATAAGTGTTAAATATTTCCAATGATTGGTTAGAACGAGCTCTGAGGTTTGTGTTAAGTAACGGGTATATAAGATTTAACGGGGAATTTTATAAACAAATCAGAGTAATAGCTATGGGTAATAGAGTAGTAGTAGTAGATTTAGCTGTAATATGTATGCATATACTTGAATTTAAAGCGCTTAAATCCTGGAAAACAGGAGGGAATGTCGGCCCATCAATGTGGTGGAGTCAGATTCATAGATGACGTATTTGGAGAGTGGAACTCAAATGTAGAGTCTCTTGTTAGTTTCCATGAGTTCTAGACTACGGTTCCTCCATTGATAAAATTTACATTTACCTATGCCATACCAGGTAGAAATTTACTGATTCTAGATACAACAGTTCATGTTACGGAATGGGGAAATCATTACTGGTATTTTCAACAAACCATCTACAAAACCCCTTTGTTTACATTTCCGTTCACATCATCCCCCTGCTGAGTTTTCGTTATTGATAAAGTTTGTAAAAACAAAGAAGTATGGGAGTAGCCTATAGAAAACCTGATGATAAAACAAACTTAACCACTTGAATTTATACAAAACATAATAAGAAATGTTGACAGGCAAACAGAAAACAGACTTTAACTATAGAAGTAAAGAAAGCGCATTTAAAGCTCAGGTTACTTGGGTGATTCCGTATATAAGTGATAATATAACCTCAAACTGAAGAGATGACCAGACTTACCTATTAAAATAGTACAAAAACAGACATATTCCTTAAATCACTAAGAACATGTTCAGCATACAATAAAGAGACACGATCTGTAAAAAAATAACTGTAAAGCTACTAAATATGGACTATATGATAGATGATATAGTAACAACGTTGTTTATGAAGTAACTTTTGGCAGATGTTCTAGTACGTATATAGGAGAAACTTACCAAAGCATACATGATCGAATATCTGAACATGTGCGTGACATTCAAAACCTCAGTATTAACAATATTATTGCTGAACATTATGGAAAGAACATGGGATACCACAAGCAGATAATATCTTATCGGATGTCAAGAACTTATTTAAATGTCATAGTTTTCTAAAGCGAAAGATTAAAGAGCCCATTTTAATCAAGAAAGAGAAACTAAAATGAACAATGGCCTTTAGTGTAGATACGTTAATAACATTCTAAAGATTTTGATATTTTGAACTTGAAGTCTCTATACACATTCATAATGATTGAAATATATTTTCAGACATTGTTTTGTGTATATATTGATATAATAAGATGAAATAATATTTACATATATAAGTTTAACAGTTTACCTGTTAGTTTACACATGTTATCTATTTAGCACTGTTGGTTTGGTTTTTTTTCAACAACTTAAGTTAAAGAATGTGATTTGAGCTTTCTAAACGCGTGTATCAATGTTCGATATAATGTTCGAATCTAGATTCAATTGGATTAGTGAACTTGTAGGATATCGGTAGTTCCTGAAGAAGCTGTAAGAGCGAAATATTGAGCTAATAAAGATACATTCTGGAGAAAAAGGTCGTGGTTTAATTAAGTTTATAGATATTTGTTATACTCTGTTTCTTAAGGGTAACATTTCCTTTTAGAACTTCATTTAATGTAATATTTTGATTTGATTTTGTTTTATTTGGAAACAGACTGAAGGGAGACATCATAAAAATGAAAAAAAATTATAATACTACAAATGTTAAAAAAAATATGTATTTATTCTGTTTAACCGTATGGACAATGGACAATCTATGATGGCCCATCGCGGATATCGAATCCCTAATTTTAGAGTTGTAGGTCCGCTAACTTGCTGGAGAGTCACGGAGAGAAAACAAAAATGGAGTAGTATATAATGACTTAAGCAAACTAGTGTTCTCTAATTTGTTTACGTGCATAATTTGTCTTCATTTACTTTGTCTGCCATCAGACACTTATATCTCTATTAATTTACATCATGGGCTTCCGAAATAACAAATGATTCGGAGAATCAATTTTTCAGATTATTTTTATTTCTTTTTCACAAACCAAAAGACAGTAAAGTAGTCTATCTTTCAAAAGAGTTTTATAGCAAAATATACATGACTTTTAAATAAGGACGAAAGATGAATTGAAAGCTTTTAAATATTCATTATTTCAAAATCAGATGTAGGAAACAGTTGCTGTGATAAATGTTTTAGGTTGTGTTTATACATGTGTATTTTGATTTTGATTTATAAAATAGTTTTTATGACCTTGAAAATAGCG